CGAAGTTTCATCGAAAATTAAAATTTTGAGTTTTTGGGGTTGTAATAGTGGAATAGTACCGTTTGTTTACCTTAAGTAGATAGTAAACAAAGGAGAAGTATCCCGATGTGACAAATCCATAGGATATGAGTATACAAATGCCGAATGTCGACGGATCTGGTAGAATGATCACAAGAACGTCCTGGAAGAAGGTTACTCGATTGGGATAATTAATAAGTGAAACTTCTGAACAGGTACTAGCGATGATTCTCCTTCTAGTTCTTCTTGTTAAAATGATTACAAAACCGATTTCGATTCATGATTAATTGTAAAAAATGGTTCTGTGGGCATCGAAAACATAGGTGTTGATCCACGTCTTACCTTGAGAACCGAGAATGTCTGACATAGCGCGTTATGTACACCGAAAACTGTGTTACGATCACTTTCTGGTACACCTTCCTGCATGATGTGAATAATCGAGAGATCAGCCATCCATAGACCTGAATCAAACAATTACACTTTGTACCCTTAGCTTTCTCTTGTATGGATACATGAACATTCAACGAGCAGCGCTAAGGCTATAGAAAGGTAACTCTGAAACAAACTCGGTCAGGTGCTTCCCTATGCCACTACGTCTACTGCATACTGCAACGGGTAGCAAACTCTAGTAGTAAAAGACATGGGTCGGGGAGCGAACAGTTGTATCCTTCAGAGTCAGTGATGCAATTCAGCCTTTTCGCTGGCACACTACAGCTATTTTTTGACAAAATGGTCAAAAATGGGTCTGATTAGTTATCGGTCGAGGTGTGACCTGACCCCTGATATTATCACTCACAGCTACTCTTTTATCTTGTTCTATGCCTCTTCAATCAGGGTTCCCTCGGGTGTGGTTGGCTTTGACAACTACACAACATCCCCTTTAATCCACTCTTATGTTGTTTATGTTTCAAATATCATTTTATTATGCAGTCATGATATAAAAAGGGACCGAAAATCAGCACAGGAACTCGGCTTTTATGGTAATACGGCTAGTATCTGAAACGTCTGTTTGCGGCACGATTTACTAGTCAGATGCCCTATGCGCCCTGTCCTTACATTGGGTAACTTCTCGAATCTACATATATGTGGAAGGCTCAGAGTGTCATATGCTCGCGCAATTCGAAATTGCTCGCGTCTTTCAAGATTTCAGAACAAAACCCGGCATGAACCGAGTTTATACTAAATAATCGCTTATGTAGGTCTAAACAGTAAGATACCAAATCGAGCTGTGGCGATTCCACTTAGAAACGTGATGATACTGTCCAAACTCTGTCCACTTTTAGTGGGATTCGGTTCAACGATGTCTTCTAGTCCCTAAAGAAGAGAAAGAAGTTGTGTCAGCGCTTATTCATGACATTCTGTAGGACCCATCATTTTTTTTGCAGAAGAATAATGTCATACCTGTGCGGCTCGTCCATGAAAGTATCCCTTGGGATCAAATGGTGAACCAGGCAACCATATGGAGATTACAGCCACGATGAGGCAGATTTGTTGACACTATAATGAAATTTTCAACTCGATATGAGGAATTTTTAGCTGTTCAATCATCTTAGGGACGCAGGGATTAAGGCCAAGAGGGCCCTCGAGTCTGCTTTAATAAGGCTTCAGCTGAAATTGCCTCGGACATAGAATTCTCGACGTCAATTTGGCTTCTAGAGAGCTGATATAACTTTCAGGGAAGAGCGTTGACAGTACAACGAAGTTACTGATCAACTGACAAAGTATATACAGGAGCTCTGATTGACGTGAAATATTCTCACCCAGCCCCTCTGAACGTGCGTGGCGTGGAGCCCCATTTGAAGTGATAAATGCAACTTTTTTTCACCCATGAATTCCCAGACGAATCTTATCAGTTAATATACGTCTTACGGCTGGTTCTTTTGGTGCTCCCTGACAACCCAAATCAGCATCGTTTCCAGATTTTGGAACATTTTTAGCCTAGACGTTATCATTTAGGGAACCAGCTGACAAAGCAGCTTTTGGATCGTGTGAAATCAGCAAAGATAAGAGGCATCAGGATGACAATGAGCGTCTGAAGAACAAAGCATGTTGATACCAACGAAAGAAATAGAAATGGAAGGAGTCACGTAGTAGTCTAACCTGACTTGTGGAACTTTGGTACCGTTACGGAATAGTAACTCGCGTTATCATATTATTCGTATCAGAAAATACTATCCCTGTCGGCTATGATAAGTCCTTTTCCATCTCACTGGCTAAAACTCACTGTGAGTCCAAGTAACCCTGTTTTCCGTACTCCCAGACGACGTTCAAAGAAGGCATATGATAGCGCACCAAGAATTCCCATTGCTGACCCATAGGATCTGGAACATAACTGAGATTTTGACTCGAATTTTTGAGTAAACAGCTGAAGGGAAAGAAAAAAAAAACAAAGCAGCAAGCAAAGCATAAGAAAAAAGATCATAACTCAGCTACGCTGTGAGTAATTCAAAAGTAACCCCCATTCCCCGATTTCACCCCCAGTAGTAGAAATACAGGAGGGAATAATTCGTACATACCTGAATGCGCCAAGCACGAAATCCTGCAAACCAGCTGACTGACCGTATCCAACGGCCAACTGAAACAGGGGAAAATCACGCTTATTTATGTGAATAAAAGTGGGAATGACATACGCCGTCGAATCCCATCACAGTCATGAACAGCAGTGCCATGCCAAATGCTGCAGCTATCACCGTTTGGCGAACGTAAGTCCGTAACACATCAGGGATACTTTCAAGCACAGCGACTACCCTTGACCCACGCGATGTTTTGCCTCAAAAATTAGCAACGATCAAATAGAACGTTAGCTGGTATTCCTCTTAACACTTATTCAATTCCTGGTGAAAAAGGTTTTATATTGTCATGGATTGGAAGGGATATGTTTCCTCGGTCTCTTCAGATCCCTACACTAACTAGTTACATTCACTCAGCAACATCTTTCTGGTCACACTGCTGATGCGAAAAAAATTGCCATAATTGCGAATTCCATGACATTCCTTAGAAAATCCGTTCCTACGGGAGGTAGGGGAAGCGTGGAGTTCCCATTTGTTCCACATACTGAATTTATGATTTTTTGAGAGCAATTATTAAATGGTTTGCAACTAGTAAAGGGGTTATTTGCATCAAAGAGATTATGATTATGGGCCATGACGTTTTTTCTTACCCCGCCTCTTTGATAGAGAACTTGTGGCAACAATGTTTCTATCATTGTGACCACTAGCCCCCGAAAGGCCCTACTGTCGCACTGTCGCATCGAAAAGCGGCCTAGATATAGTGCACTGAGGGTCGAATCCTCAACGGGTGCCCTTTCAGCAGGCCATCTGAAGACTGTGTTGGAAGGGAAGGGGCGGCTCTCATAATGCAACTAGTAAATTTTCAGACAATGTGATCAGCTGGCTATCCCGGCATCTCTTCCTCTCCTACTTTTTCCTCTACCGTATTTTCGTTTCTTCACAAATGAAGCGCTACTGTCTCAAACATTTTATCCCTTCACCTCAGTAACGGCACATAGATTTACCGCTATCTACACCTTCGGAAGTAATTGCAGACATTCATAGTAAAATTAGGTAGTAACCTTCAAATTTTTGTTTTGTCGCTTCCCGTTCCTTATGAGCCAGCTTGGGTTTGCGTACATACAATGCTCGAAGAAAGAACGCTTTCGATGCCATCGACACCAAGCTGAATGCACCGAAAATCGCACACGTGACACGAAGACCCCAAGCCGTCACTAGAACCTACAATTACTGGTATGATCATATTTTTTGGGTACTTTGTTGTTTATATGCAAAACCCGTAAATGGTGCTGGCTTCGCTTCAGTTATTCAGGAGTTACGGTGGCCAAAGATCAGCTTGGTCATGTAACTGTTCTTCGGTCTTGCCCGGTAAGGCGAGAGGAACAGTAGGAAAATTAGCCCGATACTAAGGCCAGCATGCCCCAGCGCTGAAGCCTATTATCAGATGCTTCGGCAGTAGTGTGAGATGAACATGAATTGGGTATACATAATTCCTGGCAGCACACGACTCCATGCTGGAAAAGTAAATGGTGAAAATGCAAGTTTCCAGATTCCCGAACGGACCTTTTACGTGTACCCTGAACTAGAATATCTTAAAGGGTAAGCTTTCAGCACCCAATTTAGTCTGCCTATTAAAAACTCCATGCCTCAACCAAGGCTAGACCTGTGTTGAAAGAAAAGTCAATATAATTTCTTGAATTTTGCTTACCCCAGTAATGATAGGAGAAATCACATTAGTCAATTGATCCAGTGCAGTCAGGGTAGCGTTGAGACCTAGAAAAGAGAAGTCTATGCGCATGTTCCGGAAGTAATAAAATTCGTCAAGCATGCATGAACTTCAGAAAAATCGAAAAAACGAGAAACACGAATCAAAATTACAATCAGGACAATAATACTGGTAATGGATGAAGGATATAGTCTTAGGATCGATCATCGAAGTTTGATCAATCCCGTCTGAGGGGTACGCCCTCGCACTCGACTTCCATTCAGTATCGTAGTGGCGTAATTAGTGCGTTTGTGGCCTATACAAAGACTTGTGGTGGCCAGCCGATGTACGAGTCACTGCTTTTATCCTCCCAGACGAGTTTGGTACGAATTGACCGACCCCGGAGGGATGAAGGGCTTTTTTGGCCTAGGCAGGCATCGATCCCGGATTCGAACCCGTGTGTGGTAGTGCACCACTTGCCACTACACCAACTCCGCCCTAACAATAATAATAATAACAGCAATAAAGCTAATAAAAAATTTCTAGAATTCCAAAAAGTTCAGATTTCTGAATGAAATATGGAGGGATACGTTTTGAAGTTTCGGAAGGTGCAATTTAAAGATTGAACTAACTTGACAGCGTATTTCCATCGCTAAGCACAACAACCCAGTCACGCGAGACAAGAAATTTCTCGGCATTCAGAAAAAGACGATTGACTGCGCAGGTGAAAATGCCAAGGACAAGAAACGTAGTGAACCATGGCGAATGTGCTTCCACAGACAGGCATACTGTAAACAAAACTGTATTTCGAATCAACCGTATTATGACCATAATGTTTTCTTCTCACACACTTCTTTCTCCACCACTCCCCGACCCCATCTAACGAAGTGTTCGGGAAAAAAGTAAAAAATGATGATCAACGGACAGAAAAAACAAAAAAAAATCGAACAATGAGATGTTCAACGAATATAATTGTTTCCAGGAATGACAATGCGTCTGGTCTGAAATTGTCCCTGGGTTACGGTAGCTCGAGTCATATAAGTCATTAAATAAAAAGTAGATAAGAAGACAAAATAAAACAGACCAATGAACATCGAAGCAGCCAAAACGATGCTGAGGTTGTTCAATGGAACAACAGACATGATTGCTGAAATAATTCGGAACTTTTGACGACACAAAGTATCGAAGAAATTCTACTATAATGTTTTTAAAGACGAAATTCTCTGAAGAGTTCATGAGATCTGGAGTAACTTTTAATTTTTCTGCAGGGCTTTTTTATTCCCAGAATTTTCGAATTTTCCTATTCATCTGGGGAGCAGTTGTCCGTAACCTGACTCAAAAAAGGCTGTTAGAATACTCTCGTGATCTCTATACCTACTCAGATGCATACGCAATACTGAATGGGAAGCAATCTATAAGGGGTAGATGATGCTGAGCATTTTATTCCTATCTATTAAAAAAGTATTCTGTAGAACTGTACATAAAAGGGCAGTTGATCAAAGAACCTGCCTGTCTTCCTGCTAGTTCTGTCGAAAATTCTTCCCAAGTGTCCGCTGAGTATCATCTGCCCGACTCCTTCAGCGAACTGTTCTATCGACACCATTCGCATACCGCCTAGGGCTTGCATACACAGTGAAACACAGAAGGACCATGCTCGATCTTCCTGGACATGAACTATTACTTTCTGAGCTGAGCCCGAGCCTAAGTTCAATTAGCTGCTTACTCCTGGCCATTATATTGAGCGAAAGGAGGGAGTCCAAAAGTAGTTATTATTATAACAACAAGTAATTTTGGGAACGACTCATGAGTTTCCAGTAGAAAACATGGATTTCAGAAATTCCATAAG